TGTTACTTTGTCAAACATTTGGGCTCAAGTGATTCTCTGTCTTAGCCTCCCGAATAGCTGGGACTACAGGTGCCTGCTTTTAGAGACAGGGTCTCACAATGGCTGGTCTCAAACTCCAGAGCCCAGGCAGTCCACCTGTCTAAGCCTTTCAGAGTGCTAGAATTACAGGCATGAGCTACCTCCTGCACTCAGCCCAAAGTCATTCTTATGGTATCTTTTAGTGAAAGTGGAGATTTTATGGTACTAATTATATCTGTGTTTTCAATTTCTAAGTTTATTCTGAAAGACGTGTAACATTTCTTCCTCTCTGTAACTCTTAACCTGCCGTTTGATTCTTGCATTGGGTTGGGTCTTAGTGACATTTTATGAACTGTTGGTGCAATTCAAGGTACTGGGAGCATCATTGTCTGCAAAGACTGTGCAAATAGGGTAACTCACTGCTTCTCTTTTCAGAGCAAAATCTGGAGCGGCAGGTGTTGCAGACGCAGTGCAGACGGCTGGAGGCCCGGCACTGCAGCCTCAGCCTAACAGCTAAGCAGCTCTCCCTCAGCGTGGCGGTGAGTCCAAAGGAAGGGGAAGAGGAGGCTGTCTGAGTCTCACCATGTTGCCCTCAGTAGAATGCTGCTGTGGCATCACAGCTCACAGCAACCTCAAACTCTTGGCTTAAGCCATCAGATGCCTCCCAGTAGCTGGGACTCTAGCTGCCCACCACAACGCCCCGGCTGTTTCTTTGTTGGCATTCTTGTTTATTAGCAGGCCCGGGCTGGGTTCGAACACACTGGTTCAGTACAGGTGGTTGGCACCCTAACCACTCAGCTATAGGCACCGAGCCAGGAGGGGCATATCTTGAAATACATGGGGGTACTTTTCCTAACCGCTCAAGTTTGGGTTCAAAAGCCACCCATAAAGACAACTCTTAAGCGATCACAACTTACTTTCCTCAACCCTGACTTCCCCCCTTGAGACTGTATTTTTAACCTGCAGAATATCAGTCCTAGGAGAGCAGAGCTGCTCCTTACTTGTCCCTCCTGGAGAATTACTTGCTGCCTGTGCTGGTCTCCTACTGAGATTCGCCAAGGAGGGCAGAAGATGATCATATTGGAAAAGGAAAGCTGCTGAGGCAGCTGGATCACCTCCTGCCCGTCCCCCAGCTGTACCAGGGCCTCAATCCAAGAGGCTTTCTTGAGGGGGATGAGGAGGAGGCGGTCTCAGATCACTCCTAAAGTTTTTACATCTGTGAGTTCCAAGATTCAGTGGACACTGACTCTTCAAGTGCAGGGATTATGAGAATGTAGGGCACTGGGAGAACCAGTTCAAATTGTCCCCAGAGGCTACCCTCAGGGCATGGGAAGAGAGTATTTTCAAAGTGGAAGATTGGGCTTTCCACAAGGTGTCCAGTGCCCTCAGCATCACACACACTGCCTTGCAGACAAGATGAGTTTTAACAGGCATTTCCCTCTCCCCAGGAGTTGAGGAGCCAGAAACAGAAGATTGTCTCAGAACGGGAGCGGCTCCAGGCGGAACTGGACCACTTACGGAAGTGCCTTGCCTTGCCTGCAATGCATTGGCCTAGGGGCTACTTTAAGGGATATCCCAGGTGACGGTTTCCCTTGCACTAGGCTGAACCTATAGTATAGAAATATTATCTATTTTATTACCTTGAATATTTAATATTTTTCACTGGGAGGTTTGAAGCTTAAAAACTAAGAATGTGCCATGCATGAAGCAAAGGATTCCAGGCTCCAGAAAAGAAGAACG